CGCCACGGCTGGATTCGCTTCGGAGTCGTCATGCTTCGAGCGCAACCCTGGAGGGGTGCCGGCCCAGACATCTGGCCGCTCCAATTTTTTCGATGCGTGGGCCCCAGAGGCCGGGACCACTTCCCTAGGGCCCGTTTTCGTCCTGAGTGTTTTTTAATTGTCCCGAGGCCCGGCGAGGGCCCCCAGAGGCAGAATAAACGGCCGAAAAACCGCCGCTTCAACATTTTTAGGAACGCCGGATCTCTGTGCTCGTTTGTCGTCCCAGCATCCCAGCACCTGGCGGGCTGTCGCCAAAGGCACCTCCACCCTCGTCCTCCGCACGCTTTCTGGCGGGGCTCGGCTCGAGAGGTCGCGCGCGCCAACGGCCCCCTGGCCCCTCACACGGTTCGTGGCCCCATAGGGAGCTCCACCGAAGGCCCCAGTGGCCGCGTCCGCATTCGCCTTCCCCGCCCACCGCATGCCCATTTCGGCACACCCCTCACGCGTTTCGTGGCCTCATAAGGGGGCTCCACCGAAGGCCCCAGTGGCCGCGTCCGCATGCGTTGTCCCCTCCAACCACATGCCCATGCTGGCACATGGTCTCAGCATCCCGACCTCGTGGAGGGCGCCCCCGGAGGCGGTCGCAAGGGCGCTGAGCCAGTGCCCCGTAGACCTTAGCTGCCTCCATGCGCCCGTTTTGAAACGCAACACGTATGTATGTACGTGTTCAGGGCGTCCGTGTCAATACGCTGCGTGTTGGCTCAACTTGTAGGCCCACGTTTTGGCAAACGTATCGCCTCAGACCTACACATGTTCAGTCTACGTGTTGAGGTCCGTATCAATGCGCTGCGTGTTGCGTGTTGCAAATCGGGGCGGCTAAGCCGAAAACAGGGAGATCGACAAACTGGGAAATTGGGGCACTCACCCGAGAACACTGCGGCCATGGGCCGAAGCATTCTACGATCTTCGTTGTCTCCCACTGGGGTCTGGCAAAGTTTTGGCCTTCAACGTCCTGGTTTACGGGGCCCCGGGTTCGACTGCGCACGACTACCCAGTGGGTTTGTCGAGGCCAGCCAGGGCTGCCTCGGGAAGGCCCATGGCACCCCTAGCCTTTCTGCGGTTCTCCTCCACCCCGTCCTCGTCCTCGTCCTTCTCGTCGTTGTCGTCCTCCTCCCCCACAAGGACCGCATGGGAAGCTGGCACCCCGACCTCAAGTGCGGGCCCCTGCGGGACCGGCTGGTGGCTCTCTTGGACGGCACCGAGGCCGTGAACAGGCCGTACAACTTGGCGGACTTGTCGTCGCTCCGCGACCGCTTCATCGAGGCCTTCCAGGACGGAATGGAATGATGATGATGATGTTGATGATGATGGTGATGACGGTGATGTTGATGGTGATGGTGATGGTGATGGTGATAATGATGATGATGATTGCGATGCTTCTGCTGCTGATGATGATGGTCATGATGGTCATGGTGATACTGATGACGATTATGATCATGATGATGCTGATGCTGATGCTGAACATCATGGTGATGGTGATGATGATGGTGGTGATGGCAGTGATGATGATGCTGATGCTGATGATAATGAGGATGACGACGGCGATGATGTTGATGATGATGGTTATGATGATGCTGCTGATGCTGATGATGACGACGACGATGCTGGTGATGATGATGACGATGATGATACTGGTGATGGAGATTGTGATGGTTGATGTTGGTGACGACGACGCTAATTATGATGATGATGCTGCTGATAAGGATGATGAGGATAATGGTGTTGGTGGTGGCGATGATGATGATGATGATGATGATGATGATGATGATGACGATGATGATGTTGAAGGCGGTGCTGATTATGATGATAATGATGATGGCGATGCTGCTGCTGATGGTCATGGTAATGGTGGTGTTTGTGGTGGAGATGATGATAAGGAGGAGGAGGATGAGGACGAGCATGAGGATGAGGATGACGATGCTGACGACGATGCTGACGACGATGATGATGATGATGATGATGATGATGATGATGATGATGATGATGATGGTGGTGGTGGTGATGGTGGTGATGGTGGTGATGATGATGGTGATGATGATGGTGGTGCTGAGATTTATGATGATGGTGATGATGCGGACGAGGAGGAGGAAGAAGGTGAGGATGAGGCTGAGGATGTTAATTCTCTTGTTGTGGGTGATGATGATGATGGTGATCATGGTGCTGGTGGTTATGCTGATGATGAATTGGTGGTGGTGATGATGATAATGATGGTGATGATCTTGGATCTTGGTGATGGTGATGATGATGCTGATGATGTGATCATAATGATGATGATGATGATGATGATGATGATGATGATGATGCTGATGATGATGATGATGATGATGATGATCTTGGTGATGATGGTGGTGGTGATGATGATGCTGATGATGTTGCTGCTGCTGATGATGATGAGGATGCAGAGGGTTACCGACGATGCTGCTGATGGTGATGGTAATGGTGGTGGTGGTCGCGATGATGATGATGAGGAGGAGGAGGAGGATGAGGACGAGCATGACGATGAGGATGAGAATGACGATGACGACGATGACGATGATGATGGTGATGATGGTGGTGGTGGTGGTAATGGTGGTGATGCTGATGGTGATGATGATGGGGGTGCTGAGTTTTATGATGATGGTGATGATGCGGACGAGGAGGAGGAAGAAGGTGAGGATGAGGCTGAGGCTGCTGATTCTCTTGTTGTTGATGATGATGATGATGATGATGATGATGATGATGATGATGGCGATCATGGTGCTGGTGGTTATGCTGATGATGAATTGGTGGTGGTGGTGGTGATGATGCTGATGATGATAACGATGGCAATGATCTTGGTGATGGTGATGATGATGATGATGCTGATGATGTGATCAGAATGATGATTATGGTGATGATGGTGGTGGTGATGATGATGCTGATGATGTTGCTGCTGCTGATGATGATGAGGAATATGATGGTGCTGATGATGCTGATGATGCTCTTTTCTGCTTGTTCTGATGATGCAGCTGATGATGAGAATTTCGATGATGATGATGATGCTGATGATGCTGCTGATAATGATATGACGGCGACGACGAGGTGGAGGATGAGCTGGAGGAGGAGGACCCGATACGGATCCCCGTTCGTGGATGACACTTGGCCATCGGGTTTCTCAAGGCAGTGGAGCGTAGCCTACTTCTCTCCCAGTTCTGGGGCGACTGCGCTGGGCCAGTAGCACAGGGGACTGGCGAGTGGATGCCGATCCACCGCAGTTCAGGTGGTAAGCACTTGGGCTTTCGGTGACCACATGGTGTCCCCGATTGAGCTTGAAAGGGGCATCAGGGATACTAGTATCGGGCCCGCTCGAGGCCAGGCTAGACACAACAGGCTTGCCTACGCCAGCGGCCCTACTAGACACAGCAAGCGCCTGTGGCTCCGCAGGCCGAAGGGATCGTGGCTCGTCCAGCAAGGCTCTGGGAACCACCGCCCCAGGCGCCACGCCGGGTGCCCTCGGCATGGAGCTTCCGCCCTCGACCGGAATCCAGTTGCTCGCGACCGCCCAGCCAGGATGACCAAGCGCGGCTCCCAAGATCCGGTCCGCCGCAGTGAGGGCCATCGAGATGGCATCCTCATGCGCCGCTGGCAGCGGCGAGGCAGAGGCTGCTGAGGACGCAGCGGCGGGCGTCAGCCCGAGCCATGAGCCTCGGCAAGGCCGTGGGCGCACGGCGCGCTGCCAGCTCGACCCGCGTCGGGCCAGCTAGTGGCGCTGTTGCGCTGACTGTGCAGGCGCTGTCGGGGCAGGCGGGCGCTTCCTCCTTCGGGATCTTCTCACGTCGTCCATTGTCGTGCCCATCTCCGTCATCAGCCACGCAAAAAGATTGGCCTCCCCTTGGCATCCACCATCTGAATCTCGAGCAGGTCATGCGGCGTCCTCGGCAGCACGTGCAGCTGGGCTCCACTCTTGGCGAAGAAGTCGGCCCAAGCATCGCCGCAGAAATCGCTGAGGTCATGCTCACCGCCCACCACACCACCCCAACCCAACCCGAAGGCCCCGATTAGCCCTCCATTTCCAGATTGGGGGGTCGGGGAACATGGAAAAAAGACGCATATGCAGCCCGTACCCCCCCAACCCGAAATTCGGGTCTTCGGGTTGGATTGGGGTGGTCTGGTAGGTAGTCACATGCTGCCCCCCACTCTAGAGGAGAAGTCGGCATCCTATGAGCAGAGCACAAGTTCGCACTAGGCCTCGGCAGCCCCTCCGTACGGCAAGAGGCGCAGCATCTGCAGGAGCGCCCAGCGCTCGGCGCGACCCACGGCCTGCCGCTGGCCCGGCAGGGCTCCAACTGCCGCCCTGGTGGGCATGCTGTGCTCGCTCGGTTGATCGACGGCCTAATTAGCCGCAGCGGCAGAGCTCATCCCAGGCAGCATTAAAGTCCGAGCCGTCGTGGTAGACGATCGTGCTGCGAGCGTCGAGCGGCGGTGGCCAGTCGCCCCAGAACAGCACCTCGGCCTCTGGGCCCGCAGCGGGCACAGCGTGCGGGCGCAGCGGCAGGCCTACCACCGGGCTGGGCCGGTCGTAGTCTTGCTGGGCGGTGCCGATGCTTGCCCCCTCCTTCCGGCTTGCGGGCTTGCTCAGGCATGGCGTCCAGTGTGTCCCCTTCTTCGGCGCCGCTCCCCGCCATGATGTGCGGGCACTCGTAGCACTGGTGCCCCTTGGTGCGCGGCACCTCGCCAGGACAGCAGAGGCAGCAGGGCTTGGCCGAACACCCCATCGCGTGGCGCTTGAACAGATCCCAGGAGGCGTCAGCCCACAGCTTGCGCAGCTGCCCCGCGCGCTCCAGCCAGCCAGCACTGTCCTGGGTCCTGGGCGGGGCCAAGATCCTGCGCATCGCGCAGTGCCATAGCTTGGTGTCAGGCGGGACGGCGTCGTGGTGGTTCAGAATCTGTCGGCTCTGCCAGTTGGTTACCCCCGCGCGCGCAGGAGGTGGGCCGCGTCCTTAGGCGGCATCTGGAGCAGCACAATGCTCTCTTCGGTGACCAGCAGCAGGCTCGAATGCATCCACCGTCCGTCCGATGCGCAGCATGCTCATCCAGGCCGCCGCCATGGGGCCTCGCAGCCCATGCCAGGCAGGCTTGTACTCAAGCCACGTCGCCTCGATCCGCTGCCAGGCCCGCTGCAGGCGCGCCAGCGGCAATCGCTGGTCCCATACGAAGTCGCAGTACTTCAGGACTGAGCGCAGCGTGGCGTCGTAGATCGGATCCAAGAGGGGATCCTTCTGCGTTGCCAGGTGCAGCGTGACGGAGGCAGCGCCGACCCCGCTCTTGCCGCTGCATAGCATGGGCGCCGTCGAGCGGAGGCGCGCCAGGTGCTCGTCCCGGACGCCCCCCCCCCCGCCGCGACGCGCTTGGATGCGCGGCCCTGCCATGCGCTGCAGCGCGGCAATCCTGGGCCCACGGGCACGCAGCGCCCGACACTTAGGCCTCGGCGATCGTCCTCCACACGCCATGGCCATGGGTATCATGACCCACGTTGTGCGCGCCAGCGCGCTCCCTGAGGCCCAGCTAGCGGGCAGAAGGGGCAAAGTGCTCGCCTTGACCTCCATGCCCACTCCATGCCCAGCGGCGCGACAGCAGCAATGAAGCCCACCACCGCGCGATGCAGGACCAGGCGTCCTGAGCCGAGCGCCTCGCCAACCCACTGGAGCGTCAGGTTGTCCATGAGCCCGCGGGGCGTGAGGTTGTCCGTAACCAGGCGCAGGCGCATTACCGCCCTGTTCATTTTACCGTCGGCAACCCCCCACTGCGCACACCTCGCGACTCCAGCAACCGTAGGCTCGAATGACCCTCGAATGACCCTCGACTTGAAGTACCTAGTCAGCTGCCAGTACAGGCGCATCGGATAGCGCAGCCGGCGGGCCTCGTCCGTCAGCGGGCCCAGCAGGACGCTGTCAAAGGCCTTCGACACACCCAGGAGAATCGTCAGGCTGGACTCGCCGAGCAGATGAGCACTCTCGGCCGTGAGGTTGTGACCGAAGGCCGAGTCCACCGACGAGCAGCCGCGCCTGAGGCCGAACGCACACTCGTGCGGGTAATGTTGCGCCCACCGCCTTGAGAACGGCCGCCTCGCCCTCACTCACACCCGGCCGAGCGTCGACGCCAGCGCTACTGAGGCGCGGGCCCCCTTCTGGCTTCGGCAGGCGCACCCGTCGCGCTGACGGTGCGCTGGGAGGACCAGGACAGCAGGGCCCCGCACTGCATGAAGAGCAGCGCCAGCGTGGTGACGGCCATGACGGAGGCAGACCTCGGGCCGGACGAAAGGGGGGGATAGGGAAAGGGGGGGTTACGACATCTGCTGCATGCAGCTGGTTTCGGCCCCGCTGCTGGGCCCGTTCCTCGATTTGCATGGCCGCCGGGAGGCGCCGGGAAAGTCAGCTACGTGAGCTGATGCTCACCCCCCCCGGCTTTGCTATCCCCCCCTGTCGCCCAGCCCGAACACCACGAGGCCCTGGGGTGCAGTTTGGCCTGCCCGACCGCCGTCTTCCAGCGGAGGCTCTTGAGTGCCCGCCCGCGGCTGGGGCCCAGCCAGCGGCGGGAGCGGCTCCCGGCCCTGCGCGTTGCCTGGCAGCGGCAGCCAGGACGCCCCGCGGGCGTGCCACGGGTCCTCCCAGTGGTCCATGGCCGTGCCGGCGAGGAGCTACGGGCCAGTGTGCCCCAAGACCTCGAGGCGTTCTTGGATTTCGGTGGCGCGGTGGGCCCCGCCACGGCCACCCTCGATGGCCCTCGTCGACCCAGCTCTCCCGGCGCTGGGCAACCGCAGCGTCGCGCTCAGCTTGGAGGCCCTTTGTGTCTAGAGACCAGGGCCCCCCGTGCGCTCGTCGAGGGAGGGGACGACCAGCGCCTCCGGCCCCAGCGCGAACAGCTGCGGAGCCTCGGCGGGGACCTGCTCCCCGACGTGGCGGGCCCTGCACGACAGGACGACATCCGTGGGATGTCTGCTGTTCCTGCCGCCGGGGGGATGGGGGGGCGCGCCGCGCCCAGGTCCCTCGCGACGCCCCGGCCAGAGCGCGCCGTGGGGCTGGCATTGGATCTGGACGCCCGCAATGGGTACGGAAAGAATGGGCACGATGCCCAGCAGTTCCTGCTCATTTTGGACAGCACTCGCTGTCCGCGCCGCCGCGGCCTGCGTCCATTCGAGACAGAAGGCCGCCTGCCCAAGAGCGGCCGCTCTTGGTTTGGGACAACACTTGTTGTTGGGCATTGTGCCCATTCTTTCCGTGCCCATTTCGGGCGTCCAGATTTGAGAGAGCTGAGGGGGACGTGGATGGCAGACATGGGTGAAGGCGTGTGGACTGGCGGCGGGCCGCGTTTCCGCACACACGTCGACGCGCTCCGTCGTCAGGTGAGGTGGCATTGGCTTCGTATTTCGGGGGCTACCTTACCCCATCCGTGGACCGAAGGATTGCAAAAAAACCCTTTGAACGAAGGATTGCAAAAAACCCTCGTTCGAAGGATTGCAAAACAAACCGTGGTTTTTTTGCAATCCTTTGCAATCAATCCTTCGTTGCAATCCTTCGGTTTTTTTGCAATCCTGCGCCCACGCGCCAGATCCACCGATCCGTAATTCATGTTCGCGTGTGCCCCGGATGAGGAGAAGAGCGAGGAAGCGCGGCCTCTGCTCGACCGTCGGACCTCCCCCGCCCACTGGAGCGACGTCACGCCCGGGCTTCCTGCTCATGGCATCGGCCACAGAGCGTCCCGATGGGAGCGACAGGCCCAATCCCAGGTTCAGGAGGAGGAGGAGGAGGAGGAGGAGGAGGAGGAGGAGGAGGAGGAGGAGGAGGAGGAGGAGGAGGAGGAGGAGGAGGAGGAGGAGGAGCAGCGAGAGTCCACGTCGCACATCAGTGCGACATCTCCAGAACCCTGCATCGCACTGCACGCATGCGCAACTGTGAAGGCTGCGGTGGGCGGCACCCTCCGCGTGCAGAGCCGCCGTCGGCCCGCAGGTTCTGGGACCACCTGAAGGCCCGATATCCTGTCGCTGGAAGGTGCAGAGGAGGGGGAGCGGCGCACCCCTCCGCTCGCTCGGCTGCGCACTGTGCCTGCTTCCAGAGTGGAGACTCCCCAGCGTCAGAGCCATGCCCATCCCCACCAGCGCAGGGCGAGCCAAAACTCTCCCGGCATGCTCCCCCCCAGAGGTGGGGCTGGGTGCCGCGAGCCCCTGCGAGAGGCAGGTCGGCACGCGTGGCTGAGGTTCCCTGATTGGGTTGGGGCTTGCTCGGGGTGGGTGGGCAGGGGACATCAGAATGGAGGAGGCGCGGTCGAGAGGATCAACTTTTGGGCCTTCTGGGCTTCGGCGCGGTACTCCGCTCTCTCACTCGCCTGCGCGCAGACTGTTGTACACTGGAGATGGGCATGGGAACGGAGGAGGCGAGAGCGAGAGGGTTAACTCCTAGACATTCGACGAGGCGTTTGTTCAATCCGCAGCCCCAGAGGTACCCCACTGATTCCCTGGAAGGAGTCCTTCGCTCCGGATCCACTTTTCACGGTCTTTGGGCCTGATGACGGTCCCGGAGGCTGAAATCGAGGAGAGACGCCCAGATTGAGCACGCCGCTTCCCCCACCTCTCCCCGTTTCCGCCCCGGTCCGCCGCCCCCCGTTTTCAGCGCGCTGGGGTCGAGCGTGCTTCCGCCGCCCACGCTCCGAGCAAGGGGCCAGGAGCGTTCACGCTCTGCTCGTTTCTCCTCATTTCCACTTCGGCCTGGGTCAGGGGCCGCGGCTCGCAGGCCCGGAGCGTTCCCCTGCACAGTCGGCTGGGAAGCGTCCCCTTTGATCGACGAGCGCCCGGTGGGCCTGACCTCGAAGACCTGGGAGTGGAAGGGGCGAGGGCGAGAGGCTCAACTTTTGGGGGCCTGCCAAGGACTCGGCGCAGCCCGGGGACGCGCGGCAGGAGTCGGGGCCACCCAAACGTACGTCTACTATGGGCGCGCCGGCCCCGCCAGTGCGACGCGCACGCTCAGACATACGCAGCACCCCGCAGATGCGGACAATAGTGAGGGGGCGGTGAGGACGCCGGCAGTCCGCGAGACTCTGGAGAAGCCCGCCGCAGGCGCCGAAGTTTCACAGATGATGCAACGAGCCCGCCGCAGGCGCCGATTTTTTGGTTAAGCCAAAGTGGGTCGGTCGCGACTGGGTCGCGGCTGGGTCGCGGCTGGGTCGCGGTGTGGGTCGCGGTGTGGGTCGCGGTGTGGGTCGCGGTGTGGGTCGCGGGTGGGTCGCGGGTGGGTCGCGGTGTGGCTCGCGGGGTGGGTCGGTCGCGCGCGGGGTGGGTCGCGGGGTGGGTCGCGGGGTGGGTCGCGGGGAGGGTCGCGGGGTGGGTCGCGGGGAGGGTCGCGGGGTCGCGGGGTCGGTCGCGGGGTCGGTCGCGGGTGGGACGACGACAACAAACAAGGACAACAACGCAACAAGAAGAATCCTCACCACGGATCCCCACTTCAGCCACGCGCCCAGGGACAAGGAATGACCGCTCGGCCCCCTTGCTCTGATCATGGTACGAGCGCCGTGCCGGGCGCTTTCTGGCCATGCCGCTCGGGAAACGATGTACTATAATACGTGTACGCTATTATGCTATGTTCGGGTCGGGCGCGCGCCTCCAGCATCGGCACGTGGTATGCCAGTACGTCCCTCTGGCGCCCCGAGGAGGCGCTCCCACGCGGCAGCGTCTCCCCACGGGACGCCGCGCTCTCCGGCGCCGCACCGCCGAGGCTGAAGCTGCTGCGGTCGAGCAGCGGGCTGCGGGAGGAGGACGTCGGCGGCGCAGAAGGCGGCCATGCACTCACCCCTGGCCAGGCCCCTCCTTCGAGGCCTCCCAGATGGGGTCCGAGTGGATGGGGTCGGTGGATCGCGCCGCATCGCCGATGTATCGGCGATGTGGCTCGATGTGGGGCCTAGTTGTCCCACGCAGACGGCGCAGATGCATCGACGACGTTGCCGATGCATCGGCGATGCTTTGGCGAAGCGGCGTGATCCTCCGACCCCACCTCGTAGCCGAAAAACATACCCGTTTCCGCGGCCTCGCGGGTTAGGCTTTAGGGTCGCGACCCCGCGGGTACGGGGCGTTTTTTCGCGGGTGCCCCGCGCGGAACGTAGCCGTGCGACGGCGTATCCGATCCGCGGGATCACGCCCAGGAATCCAGACCGCGGATACGGATGTGTCTGCCAATCGTGACCATCCCTGGCCAGTGCCATCCTGGGCCCCAGGGGTGGTGTAAAGGCCTCCTTAGTTGTCGGCCGAGGGGTCGCGCACACCGATTTAGGTGCCAGGACGTCCCTGCCCAGAGATGGCTGATGGTGTACCGCTTCCGTTTCCGAGCCCGACGGCGCGCGGATGGAGGGCCTTTTCTAGTTTCGGCGGCGAGCGAGGGGAGGCGGTGAGAAGGAGAAGGCCTTCTAAGAAGGCGCCGTGGCTTCTCAGACGCCCTCGCGCCTTCTGAGAAGTTTCTGCGTCTTCGGGAAAGGCTTGTAACACTTCTTTGAATGCCGGGGGACTTCCGAGCCTCCTGAGAAGGCTTGCTCCTCCTCTCTTCCCCCCTGGGCTCGCCGCCGATAGTTTTTCCAGATTTGTGGGGGCCTCCTGGGAGATTCTGCTGGTGTCCGCTGGATGCAGCTCGACTACCCTGCTCGGACGCACCCCAAGGACCCGCTTCCTGGGGGAGCGAAAGGATCTTGGTACCGCTATTCGGGGGGCCCCCAAACGGGGTGGTGACCACTCCGTGCGGTGAGTCGGTGGGGATTCGGGGTCACCGCACGGTTTTGGGACTCGGGTCGTTCTCCGAGGACGTCTCGGGCGACTGGGGCATCCGGGGTCCCAAGACCGTGCGGTGAGGTCTTGGGGGATTTCGAGGTCACCGCACGGTCTGTCACCGCACCGTTTCGGGACTCCAAAGCTATACCGCTCTCTCCTCGCCACGGCGTGGTGCGCCTCGGGGAGGAACAGGCACCGACACAGCCACCATTACCTCGTCGTCGCCCTCTTGGGCCTCCTTGGAGGCTCTCTCCGCCAAGGCGGGATTCGCTCTGCACTTCTGGTCAGAAAACACCCCTCGAGAGGTCCGGGGATCAGCGCCATCCGTACACATGATTCATTTCTAATTCTTCGAGAGTTCCCTGATTTCTTGGGGGGCCAGGTTCCTGTCATTTCTAATTCTTCTATCCTGGGCCTCTTCCTGGCCACTGGGGGGCCAGGAACAAATGGAAACGAGCATTAAGTCGGGCCTGTCCCCCTACAGGGGCATTTTCGACGACAAATAAAACATACCAAAAGCATAATCAAAACATAGTCCCAAAATAGTCTGTCTTGTGGTATTTTTGGGGGTATTTTATTTATCGTCGAAAATCCCCCTGCAGGGGGACACGCCCGACATGAAGCGAGCACGAGTAGAAACGAGCACGATCAGAAGTGAGCGACGTGTACCTCCTGGCCCCACAGGTCTCGAGCGGATCCCGGCGGGGGCACGGCGACGGGGGAGCGTCCGAGCAGGCACACCCCGCCCCGCGAGGGAGGCCTCCCGCCCGACGGGCCTCCCGCGGGGCCTCTCGGCAGGGCCCGCTCTCCTCTCGCGAGAGGCCCCCCCGGCTTCTTCAGGGAGGCCCCCCCCCCCCTGAAGATTACCAGCCTCGAGCGTATCCCTATCCCTAAGATTGACACGCCAACAGGCGGTGACAATCTTGGGGGTTCGCCCTCAAAAGATAAGGGAATATCCTGAGATTGGCATCGTGATGAGGAGGTGCCCAGCACAGGGATAGGGATGTGTTCCAGGCTGGTAAGAAGAGGAGAAGCGGAGGTTGATGGACCTCCTACCCGGACGCGTCGATTTGCGAGTTGGCCGCTTTCTGTTCGCGAGAGGGCGTCGCGGCCGTCACACTTGCAGGTCCAGGTCCGTCGGTTTCGGCCCCAGGCCGTTTTCACGAAAGGGTGGTTTACTAAAGGGAGGTTTGTCCACCGCCGAGAGAACGCACAGATGCTTTCAACAATGCAGAAATTTGGCCCCCCTGGAATCCTCTTCCTAGGGCGTAGCCTCGCTGAGAAAGCGTCTTGAGCCTTTCGTCGTCACGGATCTCGGGCTTCTTTCGCCCAAGAGTGTTGGGGTGTTGATTCTTCCACCTGCCCCATTCAACCAACCTAACGCAAAGCATTGCTATCAATCCACTGCGAACCTCATGCGCGGACCGCGCTCAAGGTGCTCTGGCCCCTTCCTCCCCATTCCCTTGCGCGCGCGGCCAGCAGGAGCAGCTGAACCTGCTGGACATGGCCCACAAGTTCCAAGAGGCCCTCGAGGACAGGGGCAAGACGGAGGTGTCGCTGTGGCAGCTCGAGGTCCACTTCCGGCGCTACGCGCAGGACCCGGCGGGGGCGCTTGAGAACTGCCGCCGGCTGCTCCGCCCCAGCAGGAGCCGCTCAGCGACAGAGCGACAGCCCCGGTGGGCAAGAGACCATCGCCAGCACACCCGCCAACGCCGTCCTCCCCCCTCCGCCGTCCTCTCCTGTCTCCTCCCCTTGCCCCAACAGCCAGCGGCTTACAGCAGGCGCGCAACGTACGAAGCAGGTCTGCCATCCGGTGCCCCACGGAAGTTTCAGACTCCCCGATGGCCCGGGGGGCCCGCGGAACTTTCAGGGGGGCCCCCAGGAGTTTTAAACATCGACGACAAGCATACAGTTGGCCCGGACTAGTAGGTCGACCCTGCCAAATCAAGGGTACCTTTGTGTCCTGTGTCTCGCGACCCGTGCCTCCTGCATTCCTATGGCAATGTGGCCCTCGGAAGGGTCTTGTGTCCTACAGTGTCCTCTCGCGTGTCCTCTCCAATCAAGGCCGACTCTATTCCCCGAGCGGTGCTTACACTGAGGGGTTCTTACTTGTCTTCTGAGGTACCTGGGCCCCAGGGTCGGTCCCGCCGGCTGGGCCCCGTGGTCGGTCCGGCTGGCTCGTCGCCGCCCGTTGCGCCGTCGCTGCTGGGCCCCCAGTGTTGGTCCGCCGCCCGTCGCTGGTTTTGTTGCATTGATTTGCCTTGCCTTGCATTGCGTTGCACGGCTTTGCGTCGCATGTCATTGTCTTGCACTGCTTTGCGCTGCTTTGCACTGATTCGCATTGCTTCGCGCCACACAGGTTGCACCACATGGATTGCACCATCTGGAATGCACTACATTGATTGCGCCACCTGGATTGCACCGACTACACTTTGGTGTCCACGCTGGGTAGCACTTCTTGCAGCAAGATTTCTTGATCGCCTGTGTCTACTGTACAAGAGGAGGTGGACCGCGTGGATATTCGCGCGGAAGCTTCCCGCGCAACCTCGCGCGTGACTGCCCTCTTTTCCACGTGGTGAGCCGCGTAGGTGGTCTGTGTAAGGCGCCGCGTAAGGGCGCCAGGCCCACGCGTACGAACTCACTCCCTTTCGTCGCTCACGAGGGAGGAGAAAGGGGGGAGGTGGCTGGCGGTGGATTCGGCTACCAGTCCCGGCGGGGGCCTCCGAGGTGGATGACGACCTTTGGCTTCCTGCGCCGACTCGGTCTGGAGAGCCATGCCTTCGACCTGGAGGACGCGGGCTTCAACATGTGGCAGGACTGGAAGCACCTCAGCGTAGACGACCTCAAGGGCAAGGCGGGCATGTCGGACAGAGAGGCCACCCTGTGCCACGCCGTGCTGCAGGCGAACACGGAGAGGCCAGACCTCCTGCACATGTTCCAGCTCGGGGAGTTCGCCGACATCGAGGACGCCTTCGCGAAGCGCTTCCCGGAGGCCTCCGCGCAGCAGGTGGGGGGTCAAAAGGCACCGGTCCCGCTGCTCCCCAGACATCTCCCCGGGTGCGTCCTGATGAGAGTTTCGAGCCGAATCCAGCCGTGGCGACGAGGGCCTCCCAGGAGGCCCAGGAAGGCGAAAACGAGGCAATAGTAGCTATATCGGTACCTTTTCCTCCTCTGAGCAGGCGCGCGAGTTCGCGGCGGCGCTTTCCGACGAGCTCGGCGTCTCGGAGTTCTCCCGGCACCAGATCCACCAGTGCCTCTCAGGGCCCCCTAGGCGGGGACTTGTGGTAAACCTGGACACTGGCGCGCCAGCGAAAACTGCAGCCGTGGATCGGAGCATCCTCCATTCTTCGTTTCGTGCAGGTGGAATGTTCAAATACTGGTTACGGTCAGGAACTTCGTCTTAGCGTGTCGCTCCGCCGGTTCTGGCCCAGCACGCTTCGGCGCGGTGCGCTAGCCACGTCCACGTCGCCACGCGTCAACGCCTCGACCCCTTCCCAGCCTCCCGCCCCGCGGAGCGGAGCGACACGTTCACAATCAGATCACAGGGCATAGCATGCCGCCGAGGCCGCCGCCGCGACCCGCGAAGCACGAGCAAGGTCCTGGTGGTCGAGCGACGCTGGTGCGCCTGAGAAAGCCGCGGCCGTGGGTCGAGGCTGTCTCCACCTTCCCTTTCCTCCGGGCGGGAATGTTCAGAGTCCTTCAGAGCGTGAATTGCCTACCCCGCTTTCGCTTCCAGGAAAAAACAAGTCATACCACGCGCCTCGTCGCCAAGCGACCTGACCAGTACAGGCCGTAGTTTGGCATCGCTTGGAATCTCTTGGAAGCGAGGGTGGTCAAAAGCGAGGTCGGTTTGTTTTCCCCCTAGTCCTGGTCAACAGCGTCCCGGCTTTCGGGGCCCCGAGCCTCGCGGCCGCCGCGGGGCCGGCGGAGGCGCTGTCGGGGCTGGCGGCGGCGCTGCCGTCGCTGGAGGCCGCGGCCGCCGCGCGGGAGCGGCCCGCGGCGGCGCCGCAGGAGGAGCCGACGGAGTGGGTGCACGGCTGGCTCGCGGAGGCGGGCCTCGCCCACCTCAGCGACGGCTTCCGCGGCCAGGCACGGCGGGCTCTACATGCGAAGTCGGGCCTGTCCCCCTACAGGAGGATTCTCAACGAAAAATAACGAATACCCCCAAAAATGCCCCCCAAAAAATCAAAAAATACACCAAAAATAGTCCCCAGACCATTTTGGGATTATTTTTTGATAATTTTTAGGGTACTTTTTATGTTTCGTCGAAACTCGAAAATCCCCCTGGAGGGGGACAGGCCCGACTTAACTCTACGGTCATAGGCTTTGGCCCATCGCGCTTAAGGCTCCACACGCCATCCACGTCCTCCTCTCCAAGCGTCGGCGTCCCGAACCTGTGGAAGCCTCCCGCCCCGCGGACCGGACACGCCATCCGCCGGCACGGCATGACATGTCGCCAGGGCCGCCGCCGCAGCACGCTGAGCAAGACACCCCGACAGTAGCAGCCGGCACCACACCAACATCGAGGCCGCCTCCACCGAGGGAAGGTTCGGGGGCCACCAAACGGTGCGCCGAGCAGACCGTGTGGTGAGTCCGTTGGGAGATTCGTGAGTGACGTTGGGATTTGGGGCTCATGCCTTCTGCCGTCCTCCAAGGATGCCTCGGGCAATTCATCAGAGCTTCCGAGGCCCCCAAACTGTGCGGTGTCGGACCGTGCGGTGAGGGCCCTTGAGATTTTGAGATCACTGCACGGTCTGCACCGCACCGGGTGGGGACTCCAATGAAGATCACCGCCAGCGTCAATGTTTAGGATCCTTCTGCCCTGGTGGAGGCGACCCCCGAAGCTGGTGTCGTACGCCCACCTTTGGGGCCTTCAACAGGCGCTCTGCACGCGCGAGGAGGTGTTGGCGGCGTCCCTCGACGACAAGCTGTTGAGGGAGGCCGTTGGTATTCAAAAGTTGGGCGAGAGGTGTAAGGTCCTGGCTTTGCTCAAGAAGTTGACGTCAGAGCCTTCGGCGTCCTGACGCCGTTCTGCTTCCCATCGGTTGCTTCGTGATGGCCGCGCTCCGCACTGCAGCCTTGAATCCCGAGTGCCTGCCCTGCGCAGGTGGTGCAGTGGGAAGTCAGGTGCAGTCGGTGCTCACGGGGAACCCGTGCAATCACGATGATTGAATCTATACTGTCACCCTGCCAGCGGCCAGAGCGCAGACAGCTGATTTCTGATCTCTGCCCTTTTGCAGCGTCGTCGCCAGTGTTGTACAGCTCGCGGACAGGCGCGCAGCCATGACGATTTCGGTAGAACTTGGGAGTTGCGCACCTTCAACCTCCTCATCCTTTCTGGGCCAGGTCCCCCGCTTCCTTCCTTCTCCCCCTAACCCCCTTCCCTTTTCCTCCCGCTCTGCCGCCCCTTCTCTCCCCCCTCCGTTCTTGTTAGGCTGCGCAAGGTCATGTCAAAGAGAGGCCGCAGCGCCTGTCCCTCCCCCTCCTGATCTTCCTCCTTCTCTTGCGTTTTCTCCTCCTCCTTCTCATTCTCCTCCGCCTCCTCCTCTTCCTCCTCCTCGCTCTGTCCCTCCTCGCTCTGCCTCCCCTTCCTGTCCACCCGACTCCTTTCCTTCCTTTCTTCCCACCTTTCACCCGTGCCTGCACTGGCACCTCCACATGTCTGCCGCTGCATCCATGTTCACCACGGTTTCCACCTGCACGTTGCCCCTCTCCATCCCACTGCTGCTGCTGCTGAGGCTGCCTTCTCGATGGTCGGGGGCAAGCTTTATTCCTCCCTCTGCCATACTCTCCCTAGGCCCCCTTCCAGACCCGACGTCCTAGGGCGCCCTCGAGGGCGCGAAGTTGTTCGCGACTCGCGCTTCGTGGTTCGGCTCCGATTCCTCCTCATCCTCCTCGTCTCCCCTGGGGGGCGGCGCGAGAGCGCGAAGTTCAACGCTGTTGGACGCTGGGATTCTTCACACAACGTGGGCCTTGGGAGTTTCCATCCCTTCTCCCACATTCCCTCTCCCTGACCGACTGTTCACTCCGAGCAGTTTTCTGAAGGTCCTTGGGCCCTGTCGGGCCCCGGGAGGCCTGCAACGCCCAACCAAGCACCTTCGCCGTATTTGTTCTCTGGGCGCGAAGGGCGCCCGGACCTGCAAAGCGTCCCAGGACGCGTCCCAGCACCTTCACCGTTCAGGAGGAAAAGAAACACGCAGACACAATTAATCGTCGATTCCACGGAAAATAGGGGAAAATATGGGAATTGGGGGGAAGACAGAAACCCAGGAAATATGCGAAAATATTGGGAATCTTGTTATTTGTGTGTATTTATTTGTGTCTTTGTGGGCCCCTTCAACCTTCACCGTATTTGTTCTCTGGGTCGGAAGCTGGCCTCCTGACCCGTCCTGGTACGCGTTGTGGCACGGGTCTCGAGGCCGAGGCGGCCGCGGCGACGAGAGGCCCCGGAAGAAGAGGCGGAGGAGGAGGGGGAAGAGGAGGAGGAGGAGGAGGAGGAGGAGGAGGAGGAGGAGGAGGAGGAGGAGGAGGAGGGAGGAGGAGGAGGGGTGAGGAGGAGGAGGAGGAGGAGGAGGAGGAGGAGGAGGAGGAGGAGAGGAGGAGGAGGAGGGGAAGGAGAAGGCGGGAGGAGGAGGAGGAGGAGGAGGAGGAGGAGGAGGAGGAGGAGGAGGAGGAGGAGGAGGAGGAGGAGGAGGAGGAGGAGGAGGAGGAGGAGGGGTGAGGAGGAGGAGGAGGAGGAGGAGGAGGAGGAGGAGGAGGAGGAGGAGGAGGGGTGAGGAGGAGGAGGAGGATTGGATCGGATCGGAAGTCCGCGAAAGAGCTGCGGTCAGCTACTGCCAGGGGCGTGTCGAGGCCAAGGGCGCCACGACGGGCCACACGCCTGCTCGAAGCAGGCACCACGTACGATCGAAGGGGTCCATCTGAAGGGCCCTCCACGACCCAAAGCTCATCTAGAGAAGAACGAGCCCGCAAATATAGGGTTAAGTCGGGCCTGTCCCCCCACAGGGGGGTTGTCGACGAAAAATCAAAAATATTCAAAAAAAGGCAAACAATATTCCAAACATAGTCTAGGGACTATTTTGGGGGGATTGTTTGACCCTTTTGGGGTATTTTGAGTGTTTTTATATAATTCGTTCGTCGAAAATCCCCCTGTAGGGGGACAGGCCCGACATAGATATAGGGCACCTGACGCCCAGAAGACAACCCAATCCCAATACATTTCTGAAACTTCTGAATACTCCTCATGGGCGGACGCGCGGCTGGCGCACCCGGCCGAAGTTGGCGCTCCCGACGGGTCGGGAGGCGGGGAGAAGAGCACGGCAGAGACTGGAGATTTGCTGCTGCTGCTGCTGCTGCTGCTGCTGCTGCTGCTGCTTGCCAGCCCTCACAACTCAAACAATAGAGAAGTTGCCAACTCTCGACGGTGCACAGATGAGAATCCATGCTGCACAAGCCAAGTCTAGGCCCAACTAAGGAGTACCTCAAGACATTCCTGACACCTCCCATGCACATAATTTCCCCTCCCCTTCTAATGAGACAGAAGACATGCATGCATACAAGAGAGAAACAAGCTCAAGCGTGTGTAGCAGCTTTAAACCAACGATGCAAATCTGCCTGGACAAGCTCCATATCTTGCCGAGGTGTCTTCTGAGCCTCGTCTTCAAAAAAGGTGGAAAACAGCAATGGGGATGCGTCTGGCTTCTGCATCTCTAGCTCCTCTCCTTTTTAAAACTTCAGCACGGTTTGCCGAACTTCTGGAGAGTACTGATTGTGAGAGACGAGGGGGAGGCGGAGGGGGAGGCGGAACAGAAGTAGCAATCCTATCTTCTCTCTCCCGCAACGGTAGCACAGGCCGAGCATCGACCGCAGACATGATGGCTATAGAATCAGAATTCTCGAGCTACTGTTCTTCATTCAAAGGCGAATTTGTGGATCTGGGGTCCAAGGCCATTCTTGATGCGGGCGATGGCTGAGTCTACTCTCTTGGACCTGCCAACCGCGAAATCAGGACCCATCTCAAGAGCCTCAGAAGAAACACACACATATATATATATATATATATACAAGACTGCAGTGGCGCTTCGCGCCATGCACCTTGGTCCTGGAAGTTTGGTATGCAGGCGGAATGGCAGGAAGGCCAAGCCGACAATTTAGCGATACCTCGTGGTTGCCTTTTCCAGCATTGCCGCTAGAATGATGTGATTCGTTATCCTTCCTCCATGTTTATTGTTCCTTATTTTCGCCATACCCTGCGCATTCTCCCCATCTTCCTCAGCTCTTTTTTTGCGGAGGCTCCTCCTTGGAGCCTCTAGGGGCCTCACAAAAGTTGTTTCGGGCTTTCTTAAGGCCTTCTGCAGGCCTCCTGGGCGTATTCTGGGGGCCTCCGGGGGCTTCCTCGGGCCACCCTGCCTCAAACCGCCGTCTCCCTGAACGACCGAATCACGATTTGGAATTCTTCGGAGGGTGTCCTTGGGCCATCTTGGGCCGCCATGGGGCTCTCTGAGGGCCATCTTGGACCCGTGTTGTGCCGTTTCGGGGCTCTCTTGGACTGCCTGGAAGCCCTTTGGGAGCCTCCCAGGCGGCTTCGGACGCCCAGAAGACCGCCGTCTTGGAGCGTCGGGAAGCCGAAAAGAGGAGAACCCTAAAATTCACCAAAAACCAACGGAAAATCAATGATTTGTGCCTCGGGGGGCCTTCTTGGGAGTGCTCTTGGAGGCCTCTTTGGGGCCGTCCTGGAGGCCTCTTGGGCCATCTTGAGGTCACGTCGGTCACTCTTGGAGCGCACGGGGACTCTGGGACGTCTCCGATGACCCCCCTGATCGCCTCGAAGTGTGCTGGGAAGGCTTGGCAAAACGCCTTGCGAGGCCCGGTGGCCGCTTCGAGGCCCGTCCAGAGGGCCCTAAAGCCCCAGGTCCCGGGAATCCGGTTTTGGGGGGGGGCGGGGGGACGGGTTTTCCCCCCGCCCAGGCTTATAAAAATATAGGAAGAGGATTATACATATAAAAACAACAAAACAACCGACGCAATGCAAGCGTCTCGGCCTGGTCTGCATCCCGAACGCAACTCCTCTACCGAAGGTAAGACGGCATCCTGGAGCGCCTGACTTAAAACTCTGCATGTTGCCTCAGGATGTACTTTTTTAGGAGCCGTTCTGAAGCAATTCTTGACGGATCCCATCCGAGCAGCGTTGTATGAGCTCTGGGCCCGTAGCTACATTTGCCTCCTCCAGGAGTGCCTCGCAACATATCATGCAAAGTCCCAAGACGAACAGCAAAGATACTTGTGGCAGCTCTACCTGCTTCCTGACCGGATTCGCACTGATCGAACTCGGTATATGTGGCACACGGGGCAGGAACATGCGCTTTAACCAGTTTAGATCTCCACGAGGGAACTGCCCTAGATCCCCATGTGGGGGAAGGAGGATGTCCTCCCTAACCACATCCTCTTATTTCGGCACAGACAGGAAACAGGTCAATGTGTGACATAATTTGCGATCTGACCTTGCAAACGCTGCATAGGAGTAAGAGCCTCAATTCCCCAAGGGGCCGCCCAAGAACGCAAGGGAGGGGGGCCACCGTCTTTCCACCGAGCTGCCGAAAACGTTTCGCTCGGGCCCCCCTCCCACTGCTGCCACGCGTCCTGCACGAATATGTTTACTCCATAAACCTACCGTAGCTGGCTTATTGAGGTCACCTGCATCCTTATCGATAACGATATCGATGGACAAAATACGCAGCTCAACATTAGGGATAATTGTTTCTACCATTATCTCAACAGCAACCTGGATGTCGCCCTGGCGCCGCTGACCGCAAAACATATTAGCAATGAAAGCAGTCCGACGCTTCAACGTACGAGGAATGGGGTCTGCTAGGGCTCCGGTTTAGGCCTCGCGCTCAAAAGACCAGTCCAGATACAAGCCGCCGACTGATCCTGGG